GGCTGAAGTAAATTAAAACAAGTTAACAAGAGCCAAAATAGGACCTTGATTATATCCCACCTGAATTTAAAGACTATCTGAAGAATAGATTTGATACATTTAATAGCAACAACTAAAGGCCTAGACAGGTTGTGGAATCATATCAAGAACATCATATATAAAGAAAGCAAAAAGTCATTAAAAAGCAAGAAAAGGAAGAAAAGACAAAAATGAATGTCAGAAAAGACTCTAAAATGTGCTCTTGAACATAAAGTAGCTAAAGGAAATGGAAAAACTGATGGAATAAAAGAGCTAAACAGATTTCAAAGGACAGCTCAAGAAGACAAAGTAAAATCATATAATGAAGTGTGTGAAGACCTGGAGTTAGAAAACAAAAAGGAACAATATATTTCTCAAGCTGGAAAAAAAAAAAAAAAAAAAAAACTAAAGAAAAAATCCAAGCCTCATATTGCAATATTGAAGGATTCTATGGGCAAAATATTGAACAATGCAGGAAACATCAAAAGATGATGGAAAGAATATACAGAGTTAATATACCAAAAAGAATTAGTCAATGTTCAACTATTTCAGAAGGTTGCATATGAACAGGAACCAATGGTATTGATGGAAGAATTCCAAGTGGCAGTGGAGGAATTGACAAAAATCAAGGCTCCAGGAATTGACAGAATACCCACTGAAATGTTTCAACAAATGGTTGGAAGCACTTACTTATTTATGTTAAGAAATTTATAAGACGGCTACCTGGCTAACTGACTGAAAGAAATCATTTTTTGGTGCCCATTCCAACGAAAAGTAATCCAGCACAATGTAGAAATTATCTGAAAATGCCATTAATATCACATGCAAGTAAAATTCTGCTGAGGATAATTCAAAAATGGTTGCAGTGGTATATTGATGAGGATCTGCTAGAAATTCATGCTGGATTCAGAAGAGAGCATGGAATGAAGAATATAATTGCTAATGGCAGATAGATCTTAGCTAAAAGAGATGAATATCAGAAAGATATGTAATAACCTGTGTTTTATTGACTATCCAAAGTCATTTGACTTATGGAGCATTATAAATTATGGATAACATTGCAAAGAATGGGAATTCCAGAATACTTAATTGTGCTCATGATGAATCTGTTCATACACTCAGAGTCTGTCATTTGAACAGAACCAGGGAATAGTGTATGATTTAAAATCAGAAAGAGTGTGCATCAGGATTGTATCCTTTCACTATACTATTCAGTCTGTATGCTGAGCAAATAATCTGAGAAGGTGGACTATATGAAGAAAGAATTCAAGCCTGTAGTTACAATGTTGAAGAATTTATGGGTATAATATTGAACAATGCAGTAAGCAATCTAAATAAGATGGAAGGAATGCACAATCAGTGTTTCAAAAATGAGTAGATGCTCAGGTATCTCAGGAGGTTGCATATAATGAAAAACTGATGGTATTGAAGGAAGAAATACAAGCTGCACTGAAGGCATTGGCCAAAACAAGGCTGCATGAATTGATGGAATATCAATTGAGATGTTTCAACAAACAGACACAATACTGTAAATGCTCACTTGTCTATGCCAAGAAATTTGGAACACAGCTACTTGTCCAACCAACTATAAGAGATCCATAATTGTGTGCATTCCAAAGAAAGGTGATCCAACTGAACATAGAAATAGTTGAACAATATCATTAACATCATACACAAGTAAAATTTTGTTAAAGATAATTAAGAAATGATTGTAGCATTACATTAGCAGCATTGTTGTTAGTTACTATTGACTTGGTTCTGACTCATAGCAACCCTATGTACAAGAGAACAAAACACTGCCTACTCCTTCACTATCCTCACAATTGTTGCTATCCTTGAGCCCATCACTGCAGCCACCATGTGGATCCATCTCATTGAGTATTTTCCCTTTTTTTTTTATTGACCCTCTTTACCAAGCACAATATCCTTGTTTAGGGATTGGTTCCTTCTGAAACATGACCAAAGTAGGAGAGGCAAAGTCTGGCTATTCTCACTTCCAAGAGTATTCTGGCTGCACTTTTCCAGGATAGATTTGTCAGTTCTT